CTGCTGGTCCTGCAGTAGATCTATATAAACGATTGGCGTATATCCCTTGTAAGGCAATCCTGGCCTGTGTATGTAGATAACTGAGTAATGACTGTAAGCGGTGAGTTTCATATAAGCGAGGGGATCCCTAGTTCTGACACCAGCCTAGTATTCCCGCCAGAGTTCCACTTACGCACGAAGAGCGGATTTTGGGCTATTCACTTGCAAAGCTCGCCAATTACTTTAACAGACCAACATGCTTATATCGCAAGCCTCACAAATCCATTGATTGACGTTTTTACTCCATCAGTACTATTTGCCACTCCTTCATCAACGGTGCGTCGCAGTAAAGCAGCCCTCTTCAAGCGACCACAGCCTTTGCGATGGTCAAAGTAGCGATTGCTGGTGGCTCAAGCAGCATCGGCAAGGCCATTTTCGATGCCATTGAGAAACTCGGAGTCGACAATGCCATCATCTTGGGGCGGAAGAAAACCGACGATTCCAAACTAGTCGTTGTCGACTACACGAGCATCGAAAGTCTCACGAAGGTCCTCGACACACATCAGGTTCACACGGTTGTCTCGACCGTATCAATCGCTGATGATGCCAGCGGCATGGCTCAAATGAACCTCATCGAGGCTGCTGTTGCATGCCAACATACCAAACGCTTCATGCCGAGCGAGTTTGGGGCCAACTATGACGACGAGTTTGTTCTTCCCTCCTCCTTGTTTTCTGCTACTCATCTTAATGTTGCTTCTTCTAGGTTCATTCGCGACATTCCGACTCACGCGTGGAAGTTCAAGGCAGTTGACCGTCTAAAGGAGACTGATCTTGAATACACGCTGTTCTCGAACGGAATGTTCATGGACTACTGGCTCGCGCCACGCATCAAGTCTGCGTTTCGACTCAATCTTCCGTGCTGTGTCGACCTTGAAAACCACGTTGCAGCCATCCCTGGAGACGGGAACAACCCAATGGTGTTAACTCACTCGCGCGACATCGGGCGCTTCGTTGCAGCACTGTTGGGTCTCCCTCGCTGGGAGCGCATGTACTACCTGGCTGGAGATAGGGTGACGGTCGATGAATTCGTTGCCATAGCCGAAGAAACCAGCGGTGCGATGTTTGAAAAGAAATATGACAAGCTGGATGTGCTGCGAGAGGGTAACTGCACCCCACTTCCGGCGTGGGAGGGAAAGATTCCATCGGCTTATAAGAGTACCGTCTTGCAACAGGTCGCGCTTTCTGGGAAGAGAGTTGCGCAAGGTAAGATGGATTTGCCGACGGAGGGCCAGGTTAACAGTCTCTTTCCGGAGATGACAACTTTAACCGTTCGAGAGGCACTGCAAATCTACTATGGACAATAACGTGATATCTCCTAGTCATGACTAGATGAATGATAGTTCACAGAGAGAACGCAAAGAACTTTCGAAGAAACCTGTTTTGTTTTACGCTGTTTGCGAGCAAATAACAGGAATACGCAACTCCTAGAGCATTGATATCGACCTAACAATTATGAAATCATGCCATTCTGGGTTGAAATGATGAGTGCTGCAAGGCCAGCAAGAGGGTGATCCGCTTGCACCAGGTTGGCTTGATGTGTGTATCTTGGCATAAGTCCTTCCTCTCGCTTGCTAATCCGACCATACCTAGAGTCTTGACAACAGCGCATGTTTCACGGGTTATCCTTATTCCTACGGGGTTCCTGTGGGCAAAGTCAGGCGCCAACCGCCGGTTGTGGCGCCGTCATCGGGCCGTGATTCGCGGCGGGCGGGGTGATAGTCCCTCCGACAGCGCCGATGCTGGGGTTGCATCCCTCCGTGCCGCTTGCGGGCCGGCGCCTATGCGGGGTTCGTCTGACGAGAGGACGAACAAGGGAAATGTATTTTAGCGCCCAGGGGCATTTTAAACCACCATTTAAATGTTCCCCTACATATCCCTCGGTTTTTCAGCTGCGGTTTTGGCCATTACTTCGCTCGTTTAGTGTGGGTTTTACATCGGTCCCAAATTTCTTGCGCAGCGTCCTCATCGGCGGTCCCGTGTGGTCGTCTCTCTGATTCAGTATTCCACTGGCCGTTCTCCAAGAATCTGAAATTCGAGTGCCGATGAGCGACATAAACCGCGAGGACGGACGGCCGTCCAGCTACTCTCATGGCTTTTTCAAAGGCGCCCAGGGTCCTTCGGGACCGACCGCGACCCCGAAGCTGAAGCCGGAGGACCTAGCGTGGGATCCGGCGTGGATCCCTGACCGCCCCGGCCGGGGCTTTTATCGCATTCCGGAGAGGAACTTGGCGAGGCATCATGGGGGATGGGGTGACTCTGAGGAGAAGAGGGTGAAGACCGAAGAGGCTCCCGCTCAAGAACGAGCGCCAGGGTTTGCTGAAGGGTATGTGAATGAACGATGAGGAGTTATTGTGAGCTTGGATTAACTGAGGCGACTTTCAGAAATTCCGAAGTTGCTGAAAACGATGCGGCAAAGCCCTCGATAGCCTTCCCACATCCGACCATGTCCATCCCACCGCCTTCTGTCGAATTTGGTTTCCGAGTCGCCATACAATTAGCCAATGTTAGCATCCACACTGCTGTCCCAGATAATGCGAAGGAAGTAGAGCTGTTCAGAGTCTCCAGTGGCTCGTGGTCGGGGTCCTTTGGTTCAGGCTTCGTTGTGGCGGGAGGGTACTACATTGACGAGGCCTCAAATGGAGCACCTGGGATAAGTAAGGTCGGAGGGCTTTTGAAACTCTGGACCAATGATGTGAAGCCCGCAGAGTGAGTTTGACGACATGTCGCTGCCTATCTCATGAAGATGCCAGGAAAACAATGGCTGACGAGTATTTCATGATTACAGGTTCGAGTTGCGAATCAGCGGATCCTTGAGTGGACCAGCAGATGTGTTGAAGTCTCTTCAGAATTCTCCGAAGAAAGATGTGGATTCAAGAAAGTACTCTTGCCGCATGTCAATTCATGTGACGACGGGGGATGAGAGGTATGCCGAGACGTTGGGCGCCGGGCTTTGGGTTGCGAGTGGAGCATGGAGCAAAGGCGAATTCATCATTGAGTGAGTTCTTCCCCCGTAGTTGTCCTCATCAGATACTGATTTTTGAGCAGTGCCTATCGCGTCGTCTGAGGTTATGATGGAAATGAGTGAAATTAGGCTGAGATGGATGAAGATTTGTGTGAGATCAAAAGAAAAATGTCCTGTTGCAGGGAGAGCCATCATCAGCCACAAGAGTACACATATTTCACCGCCTCATATGAAGATATACACGGAAAAAGAATACAGCTTGCCAGCTAAATTGATGAAACAGCTTCTTGGGGCGCATATGTAGTTAGTCACTTGGATCTTTGTAGTGAAACCCCTGATGAGGCTACTAGTTGAGGCCCTCCAGAACGAATGAGCGCATGCATGCCTCGACTGAGTCGCGTGCGCGTGCCTGAATGTTTTCGATGATTGGTCTCGCTATAATAGTCGGCTCCAGTCTCCGGCCCGTTAATGATCCTGCTGGCCGTCGGCGACCGCATCTGGGGCAGAGTCACATCCAAACGGGAGCCTGGGTAAAGGGCACTCTCATATGGAGTATCAGGAAGCATGCCTGCGCCCGCAGGATCTGGATAACGTCGATCCTGACAGGTGAGGCGTGGAGCCGAAGGCCTGGCCGCGGCCACGAGTATGCAGGTCATCGCATCCGGCTACAGGCCGGCGGCACAAATCTGTCCCGCGTGGAAGTATGATCCGCCCGGCTGGGACAAGTGAGAGGTGGTGTACAACAGCATGCCATTCACCGGTGAAGAGATCTAAAGACTCGGGGTATCTTCCGGCGAGTCGTGATAACTAAATTATTTGCTGAGATGAGTCAAGGTATCTTTGATATGATCCTTCAATCAAGATCACATATGAGCCCCTTGAAAACCTCTCACTCAAAGTCGTGAATGGGCTTCTGATAGGGCGTTGAGCCATGCAAGGTGCCGTCTAATATGCTTGGCGTGAGAAAATCGCAACCCCCGCGTGGGAATCGAAACAAAGCTTACATTTGACCTATTGAGATGGTCAATCGCACAAATGTGTACCGACATGGTTCAGTCTTCTAGTCCAGGTGCGCTGCAATGGCTGGGCACGTGTGAGATGGACCTTCACTTCTCATTACCTTCGTGATTGTTCGCAAACTGATGAAGCGAATCCCCACGGCGGGGCTGTGTTCGTCTTGGTTCTCTTGGACAAAGTCTTCGCAAAAGCTTGACCTGACCACTGCCGGGAACGGTCTTCAACATAGAACTTTCCTCGACATTTTTTCAGGCGCACGTAGTCAAACCAAAGAAGCCTATGTCATATTGGCTCTAATGTCATATGCTGACAGCATTGGAAGAGTAAGCATAGATTATTCCGTGACTCGAGATCTTATGCCGGAGCTCATGCCGACAAGCGCCCCCAAACTGCTGAAGGGATGAAAATGAGATGCGGGTAAGAAGTGCCCGCACAAGCTAAGCTCATTCGACACGGCGGAGATGTAGATTGAGAATGGCCCGTGCGCCTTGCCGGGGTCCCGTCTCTCCACGCCATCCACACGCATCGCGAATTCTTATCTTTCTCCCTGTCAACCACCAGCGATAGCAGCGCGCGATTTGCAACCTCGATTTGAACTCTGATGCAATCAATCAGTAACGGACCCCGATCTGTCCAATCGACTGACTCGATCAGAGGGCGATAGGGACAAAGGCATTCGCAGTCTTATCTGCAGCTTTTCTCTGGCCGCCGGCCGCTGGCAGCAACCTCCTGTCCCGCCTCTTCGCCGTTCGATCCTAGGGATTTGGGCCGCCATGGATGTCATGCCGAACGGGTGAACGGGTGACTGTGGATTTGTTCCTAGTGGAACATGTTCAATCTCTCTATCAGATGGATCTCTTCGTCTGCTGAGGCGGGGATGATTCCTTCTGACGAACCCCATGCTGTCAGCACCTGCAGCTTCGCTTCTTGCAAGCCAGTCCAGCCAGAGCCCATTCCTTCAACCCCGGTGTTCATGTCTTGTATCCATGTTCATTAGGCTTCTCAGGGACGTCCCTGTGGCTCTTGCCAGAATTAACAGACTTATGTCCATATGGCATTCCATCCGCATCACAGAAGCTGCCATCTCGTCACCTGGAGACGTCAGCAATTTGCAGCTGTCAAGGGCCCTCTGCCTCTGCTAGTGCTGTGGGAGAGATATCATCTTACCGTATCACAATCCCGTCGACGCAGATACTACCCAAACAAGCATGCCTCTAGCACCCGAGTGGCTGCAGATCGCTCTCGTTTCTCACCTCCCACCGCCAATCAATGGCCCGGCATCTGCAACCAGACTGCACCATTTTCTATGACTGATTGAATTTTGGCCTTATCTCTTCCCTGCATGCTGCGGCGACGCACCTGTCACGTTTTATCCAACACAGACTTTACCGTCTCAAGTTCTGAGGTAGCTTCGGTGGTTCGGTCTAACCATGATTAGTTTAAAGAGGGAAAAAGGATGATTGTGCTCGACCCTCCACCACCACCAATCTCGACCCCCAGGCTGTCTTACAGCGGGGAGAAACCGAGCCGTTACCTCCTGTGGGGGACGCGGTGCTTGTATCTCAACTTGCACATGGAAGCAAGCAAGGGTAGCTCCGGTAGTTTAAGCTCCGATAAAACAACATGATTGAGGTTGCCGCCGGCCAGCTGTCGGCCTGTGTTGGGATGATCTGCTGAAGGGCGCATACATATACGTCGAGGAGCCCAGACCCAAACCATCGGTATTCTTATGCCAAGGGTGCATCTGCTTGCCTGAATTACACCATACCATTCCACCGGCGCATCGCGAACTGCCCAAGATGGTGACAGCAGCTCTCTCGCAGGGCGTCGGGTACGGCATCGTGCTCGGCGTGGGCTTTCTCTTCGCCATTGGCATGGTAATTCTCCCCAATATGCCTGCACCGGTCTCGTTCACGTGCTAATCTTGGGTACAGATTGCCACGACCTATGTCCTCAAACGATACAACAGAGAGCTCCAGACCTCTGAGATGTTCACCACCGCAGGCAGGACAGTCAAGTCTGGTCTCGTCGGTTCCGCAGTCGTCTCGTCGTGGACGTGGGCCGCGACGCTTCTTCAATCATCCGGTGTCTGCTACCGGTATGGCGTTTCCGGACCGTTCTGGTATGCTTCCGGCGCGACCGTTCAGATCTTGCTGTTTGCTACGCTCGCGATCGAGTTGAAGCGCAGAGCACCCAACGCCCATACATTCCTCGAGGTCATTAAGGCGAGATACGGCACGGCTACGCACGTCGTCTTCATCGTGTTTGGTCTGATGACGAACATTCTCGTCACGTTGATGTTGATCGTTGGAGGTGCTGCCACTGTCAATGCCTTGACTGGCATGTAAGTCTTTGCCTTCCTCGAATGTCGATTGGAGAGGAGTCCTGAGGCTGACTGACCTTCACAGGCATACTGTTGCTGCGATCTACCTCCTGCCCGTCGGTGTCGTCGCCTACACCATTGTCGGAGGTCTCAAGGCAACTTTCCTCACTGACTGGGTCCACACCTTCATCCTCCTGATCATCATCATCATCTTCTCCTTGACAGCTTACGCCAGCTCAGACGTCCTCGGCAGCCCGTCCAAGGTCTACGACCTCCTCGTCGAGGCCGCTCTCAGACACCCCGTCTCAGGCAACGCCGATGGATCTTACCTGACAATGAAGTCCCAGGGCGGCGTCGAGTTCTTCGTCATCAACATTGTGGGCAACTTCGGCACCGTCTTCCTCGACAACGGATACTACAACAAGGCCATCGCCGCCTCCCCCGTCCACGCCCTCCCGGGCTACATCCTCGGCGGCCTCTCCTGGTTCGCCATCCCCTGGCTCACCGCCACGACCATGGGCCTCTCCGCGCTCGCCCTCGAGTCGAACCCCCGATTCCCCACCTTCCCCGACCGCATGACCGAGGCCGAGGTCTCCGCCGGCCTCGCCCTCCCGTACGCCGCCGTCGCGCTCCTCGGCAAGGGCGGCGCCGCCGCGACGCTGCTGATGGTCTTCATGGCCGTCACCTCCGCCAGCTCCGCCGAGCTCATTGCCGTGTCGTCCATCTTCACCTACGACATCTACCGCACGTACTTCAAGCCCGACGCCAGCGGTAAGCGCCTCATCTACATGTCGCACGTGTGCGTCGTCATCTACGCGCTCATCATCAGCTCCGTGTCGGTGGGCCTGCACTACAACGGCATCTCGATGGGCTACCTCTACGTGCTCATGGGCGTGCTCATCTCCGCGGCCGTGCTGCCGGCGACGCTGACGCTGGTTTGGAAGGGCCAGAACAAGTGGGCCGCGACGCTCTCGCCCATCTTCGGCACCGCTTTTGCGATCATCGGATGGCTTGTCACGGCGAAGAAGACGTGCGGCGTGCTGGATGTTACTTGCACGGGCTCGAACAACCCGATGCTGGCTGGCAATGTCATCGCGCTGCTGTCGCCGCTGGTGCTCATCCCGATCTTCACTCTCATCTTCGGCTTGGACAAGTATGACTGGAAGTCGATGATGGCGATCCGCCGGGGCGATGACCACGATGTCGCCACTGACGCGGGCATGGATCTCGAGGAGGACGTCCACGGCGGGCGTGAGGAGACGCAGGCTGAGTTCGAGAGGGAGCAAGCCATGCTCACCCGTGCCTTCAAGATTTCCGTCTCCATGACGGCCTTCATGTGAGTTTCTTACCACCACCAAACTGTGCTTCAGGACCACCACTGACAATATACACAGGACCATCGCGATGCTCGTGCTCTGGCCGATGCCCATGTACGGTTCCGGCTACATCTTCAGCAAGCCCTTCTTCACAGGCTGGGTCATCGTAGGCATCCTCTGGATCTTCTGCTCCTTCTTCGCTGTTGGCCTGTTCCCGATCTTCGAGGGCCGCGCAACGCTCATCCACACCGTAAAGTCGATGGTATCGGGCAAGAAGCCGACGCGTCACATCTCCACGCAGGGAGAGGAGGAGGTCAGCGAGAAGACCAGCCCTGGAACGGCCACTCCCGAGAAGAAGAGCGAGGGGGCAAATGAGACTATCACGTCGAGCTAGATGTCTTCATAGAGGGACACAACCAGGGAAACTTAATGCTAGTAAAAATGGAGGGGGATGCAATGTTTCAAAAGCGATGTGTTGGTTGGTGCCATGGTCTGCGAAATACCCTCGTTTGTTTGAGTTCTGTTAGGAAATGATACCACGAGATTGAGTTGGTAGACAGCAGGATGAGTCGAACCCGAAGACGCGGCGCATCTTGAGATAGGTCATGATAAAGTTCATACTCTGTACATGACCATGGGGTTTTCTTTCTTTCACGTCCTGTGCTTCGAAAAGAAAATTTTGCTTTACAAAAAGCTGCGTAACAAGACCCGCGTGCTGGGAAAGAATTGTTCTGTACCACACATGAACAAAAAGAAAACACTCGGTAAATGAAAAACACGATGGACATGATCATAGTTGAAACAGAAGACCCTGAAGATCATGACCGTTGCATCCAAACTAGGCAAATGCGCGAGTCGCGCTTAAAAGTCGGAAGCTGCTCCGGTGTACTGGAGCATTCAATGCATGATCAACATCGGTGTGTGAAAACTTTGACAGAAATTTTCCAAGGTCACAGACAATAGAAAAGAGAATACGAAAAAGTTTACCTAGTACTCTGAAGCACAATTGCATCATGATGCTCGAATTCTGCAAAGAAAAAAGTGGCCCCTCGAGAGAAAAGAGAAGTCATTATCGTTATTTAGCTTAGACTGCTTACATAAAAGAATACCCCTCATTCGGCGATAAGCAGATGGTGGGGCAGTCCAGCGTCAGGTACCGAATTACCGTCCAGGCATCTTGCAGCAGTGACGTCTCTCCTTTCCGCGCCCCTCCAGTCCTCCAGTTGCTGCCCCCCTCCGAGACCCCGTTCCGTCGTCCGCCCAGCCGCTGGTGTTGTGTTGCGTTTGACGCTCAACGGCTTTACCGCTCGAGTCGACCAACAATTAAACGGGTCTCGCGTTCCACACACCATACACTGGAACCTCTGCAGCCGGGTCGTTCGTCAGACCGCGTCTTTCCTGAACTACAAAGGCCACCTTCTGGAAAACTTCGATCCCGTTCGCCGCATGACTCGTTTTTTCTCCGACTTGCTGTGCAACAACCCACCAACCTAACCTGCAACTTGCTCAACTTGCGCCGCCAGATTCCTCGGGCCGACTGACGAGCTAAAAGCTGCTGCCGCTGCATTCGCTTCCGCCCGTATCGATACCCTTGACCGGCACCTCGAGGACCCCTGGACCGCCACATTGAGGGAGAATCTCGTGATACTTCGATTTGACGAGCTGTGTTCGACTCGCCGCGCAACACCATCTGCTTGAATCAAACAGAGCTCCAAGACACATAGCGCTACATACACCATGGTCGCCTCTGAGCTGTCGCAGGCGGCGCGGGCCGAGCAACCCCAGTCGCAGCTCGCAGCAGAGCTGAAGGACGATGCGCCGCAGACCGTCCCGCTGGTGAACCGCGTCGGCCAGAGCAAGAGCCCCTACGTCCGCAGCCATGCCGAGGGCAAGGTTGCGTGGCAGCTGCTCGACGACGAGACGATTGACCGGGCGAAGAAGGAGAACAAGTTGATCTTTCTCCACATCGGCTTCAAGGCCTGCCACTGTAAGCAATATGCCTTTCGATGGTCTTGGGAACTTCGCTGACTCTCTCACCTCCAGATTCGCGACTCACATCTACCGAATGTTTTACCCACTCAGAATGCGCCAAGATCCTGAACGAGTCCTTCATCCCCGTCATCATCGACCGCGAGGAACGACCCGAGCTCGATACTATATACATGAACTACGTCCAGGCCGTTAGCGGGAACGGTGGCTGGCCGCTGAACCTCTTCCTCACCCCCGAGCTTGAGCCAGTTTTCGGCGGCACCTACTACCCCGCACCGGAGCCGAACAACGGCAGCTCCGGCGACGACGAGCGTCTGGATTTCCTGGCTATTCTGAAAAAGCTGCAAAAGGTCTGGAAGGAGCAGGAGGCAAGGTGCAGGCAGGAGTCGAAGGAGGTTGTGGTGAAGCTGCACGACTTCGCCGCCGAGGGAACTCTCGGGGCCACCAGTACCGTTGAGCCTGGCGTCGCAGGCTCGCAAAGTGCTACACTCGCGAGATCTGAGACTGGCCTGGAGCACCCTGGAACGGGCAGAACCGCTGCGGTGGTATCGAGCGAGCTTGACCTTGAACATTTGGAAGAGGCCTACACGCATATTGCCGGCACTTTCGACCCTGTGTACGGCGGTTTCGGCGTTGCGCCCAAGTTCCCCACCCCGCCGAAGCTGTCCTTCTTGCTTCGTCTGCCGAGGTACCTTGCCCCTGTACAGGATGTGGTTGGCGAGACCGAGTGCGCGCACGCAGCTGAGATGGCTCTCTTCACGCTGCGTAAGATTCGCGACAGCGGTCTGCGCGACCACGTCGGAGGCCACGGCTTTGCGCGGTACTCCGTTACGGCTGACTGGAGTGTGCCGCGCTTCGAGAAGCTGGTCGTACACAACGCTCTGCTGCTTGGCCTGTACCTAGATGCTTGGCTGATTGCTACTGGCGGCGAAAAGAACGGAGAGTTCTACGATGTTGTGGTAGAGCTGGTGGACTACCTAACTACCGCCCCAATCAGCTTGCCCGACGGTGGCTTTGTCTCGAGTGAGGCAGCAGACTCGTACCGTCGCGGAGACAGACACCTGAGGGAGGGGGCATACAGCTTGTGGACAAGAAGGGAGTTCGATTCGGTCATCGGCGACGACCACGAGGCCGCGCTTGCCGCTTCGTACTGGAACGTCCTCGAGGACGGCAACATCGAGCCCGACCAGGACCCGAACGACGAATTCGTAAACGAGAACATCTTGCGCGTCGTTAAGGATAAGGCCGAGATCGGACGACAGGCTGGCATCACCATTGACGACGTCGAGAGAGTGTTGGCTTCCGCCAAGCAGAAGCTCAAGGCCCACAGAGAAAAGGAGCGCACGAGACCTGAAGCCGATACTAAGATTGTTGCAGGACGTAATGGCCTTGTGATTGGTGCTCTGGCGAGAACAGGATCGGCTCTGGCACCTATTGATGCCGACAGAAGCAATGCATGCTTCGAGGCTGCGAGCAAGGCTGCGGCATTCATCAGAGCTCAACTGTGGGACGAGAACGAGAGGATTCTTTACAGGATATACAATGAGCGCCGGGGTGACACAAAGGGTCTGGCTGATGACTACGCACACCTCATCGAGGGTCTGATCGACCTTTACGAGGCTACTGGAGAGGAGAAATGGGCTGAGTTTGCGGATGAGCTGCAGAGTGAGTTGCTTTCTACATGATTTATTGACACCACTAACACATCCACAGAGGTCCAAATCGATATGTTCTACGACAGCACTTCAGTACCAGCTACGACCCCAACTTCCCCCACCGCCCGCTCCTCATGCGGCGCTTTCTACACAACCCCCGAAAACGCCCCGCACACGATACTCCGCCTGAAGGACGGCATGGACACGGCGCTCCCTTCGACCAACGCCGTCTCTGTCTCCAACCTCTTCCGCCTCGGCATCATGCTCAGCGACGAAGCCTACACCGTCCTCGCCCGCGAGTCCATTAACGCCTTCGAGGCCGAGATCCTGCAGTACCCCTGGTTATTCCCAGGCCTGCTCTCCGGCGTCGTCACGGCTCGCCTCGGCGGCGCGACATGGGTCATCATCCGCAAGGATGGCGTCAACGACGACGAGATCGCGACGAAGCTGCTGCGAAAGCTTCACTCCGAGGCCAGGGGCGGGTTGAGGAACATCATTGTGTTGAAGAGTGAGGACGACGCGTTGGCGAAGAGGAGCCCTGCGCTCAAGGAGCTTGTGGCGACGCAGAAGCCTGGGGCGTACAGGCTTGAGAACGGTGTTTACCGTCCTGTTAACAGGGCTGATGTAGCGTGATCTGTCGAGTTTTGAGAAAAGTATTTTGATTCTGTGAGGTTGTCGAGGGCGAGGAGTTTGGGGTGTTTATTACCCATAGATATGAGAACTGGTTGATTGAATGTATGTAGCTCAGGTTTTGATGCTGTGAACGACTGCAAATTACTTGTCTTCTATCTTCGTTGCTTCCCTTGCGGTCATGGACCTATTGGATCAAATAATTCTGACCCGTGTCTTTGGCAGCGCTTCGACAAACTCTATGTCTTCCTCATGGCCGCTGGCTGATATGGACCCTAGTCTCCGATATCTGTCGTTTTCTATCAATGCAAGTACAAGACCCCTCATAGATGCGCCATCGACATCAAAGCGTCCAAGTCCAGTATCGTAATATGTCCAGAGTAGGAAAGCCTCTCCAGTCACGTCATTCAAGGTGTCAAACCAAACGTGACCTCTGAGTCCTGGTAAAGGAGATACCATAGCCGAATTGGGACCCGTCTTTGCTTGGAGTTGCAGTTTCGCCCACATGCATGGTCCTTCTAGAGTCAAAATGCCACTCTTGACTTCTCCAGTCTCCTCCTTACTGAGATATACCATTTCTGCCGAAATCATTGAGGCGAGTTCGACACATTCACCGACTTTCGTCATCATCGTACCCGGTGTTACTTTCCCGTCAAGACATGCCCAAGACCACGATGGTGCTCTGTACTGGCTGGCTCTCTTGGCCGAGCCGCTTACAAACCAAGTCAATTGACGTATCGATTCGTCCTCCCAAAGACCGGCTAGATAGCGATGTAGTCCTGGCTGCCACTCGTTAAGCCTCTTCTGCATGTCGTTCGCCAGCCCAGACAGTGCAACAAGTTTGTCGCTGGCCCTGGTGAGTTGTAGGTTTGCGTAGAGTTCGACTATTACATCCCATTCGAAAAATAACTGATGCCGATGGGACGGTCTATTGTTATCGCGTTCTGCGGCCAGCAGTTGCTTCCACGCCTTCTCAGTTGGCGTTTCCTTAGGATCACCTTCACAGGAGTCCATTCCCTCCGGGTGCATCTCACAACAGGTTCTTGCGCGGCACTCCCAGAACACCTGCTTCGACCCAAAATACAGAGTACGGGGTGCCAGATGCCTCTCCTGCACAACCCATGACCGTTGACACAGGGGTTCGTGCTGAAATGTGTATCTCCACGACCAAAACTCCTCTCTTCTACACATAAAGTTCATCATCTTGCCGTCTGGCTCCATCTTGAAGCTGAAGACAGTCGGCCCTGCTTTTGCCGGGTCTCGCTCAAAAAAGCATCCACCCTCGTCGTCTTTCGCACCAAGAGCTCCGATACCAATGTATGCATTTCGATACACGTCTTGCATAGTGGATGCCTCGTGACGCCAATCCTCGGCTGAGTCCTGGAAAATGCAGAGACGGTCTATCCACAGGTAGTAAACACCAGGTCGTTGGGCTACGTTCATAGCATCTCTGAATGTCTTCGGCAATCCATCAACTGGCTGCCATTCGCTCAAACCACTCATGGTTGATCGAAGTAATCGTAGAAGGCTGTGTGCAGGCTTTGAACCCCAGCAGTAGCTAAGTGCTGCGTACTGTATAGCTGTAGGGCATTCGGAGCCTTGAACCAACCGGAATGAGTTCGACTCATTCATTTGCAATAGACGAGTAGGTCGATAAGACGTCGCTAAGTCTGGCTGCCGACATGCTTGGTGAGACTCGGTGCATTTTTCCATCCAATCATTGATGAAAGACCATGTACTAGCGCTGTTGGTTGATGCTTCAAAGTCGAAATTAATGTTCCGATCAGCTTTGATATCTTCGTATAGATTGTCAGTTTTCTGGTTATTCAAGAGATATAAAAGTCTGTTTTCGTGATTTAATGTCTTACCTACAGCTTCAATAGCAAAATTCAGAGCACGATCCGTCTTGGTGAAGATGTGTATCCGGAAGTAAGAGCGTTCCCAATTTATTTCCATACTGAAGACTGAGAAACAGCACCCGGAATTTTCCTCCTCTTCTTGAAGCGAGCTCGGTATGTCGATATTACCCCACCTATAGAAATAGTTGCACACGACACACCCATCATGCACCGAGGCCATGAAAGACGTCGCAGTTTTGTGATGAATGAATAAGCATTCAGAGGGGTCAAGGTCGGCAAAATTATCCCTGTCTATTGAATTATTCGTCACGTATTCATGGGGATCGATCATAGTAACTCATATCTTTGCATACCTTCAGGGAGAGATGACCAATACTTTGCGAAACCATCTCTTGGCTCATCGCTGCTCCCCCACTGTGCTTCCAATTCTCCGAACTTGCCCACACGCTTGGTGCGGCTAGGATCCCATATCCCTTCGATACCGTCCTTGCACACGTCGCAAAGCATGTTGGTCAGGTCGAGGGGGAAGGGGTTCCAAGGAGGAGCAGGTGTTCACATCAACAATTGGCGGCAGTAAATTCTGAGGCTTGAGTCAGACAGTGTTGTTGTCAATGTGCGGGGTCTGGTTCTTAAAGTAAGCTTACTGCTGGCAGCCTGATTGCGTCTGCCAACACCAACCCCCTAGATGCTACACCTCGCTTACTTCTTCAGTCCCACATCATCGGCGATTGAACGATTATCGGATCCCAGAGCGGGTCAGCCGTTTCCTCACTGTACTGAAAAGGGTACTAAGTTCCATGTTACTTCGAAAGGGCACCGTCTTAACGATAATTCTCAAGGAATTTTGCATGACAAGGAAACGCGCGCAAGTCCTATATTTCTTTGCATGAACGGAAAGATCAACCGTGAGAACATATACATATCGAAGTGGCCACTATGCAGTCTACGCAAAGTATCCAATCAGGCTTCATTTGCGGGGCCAGATGCATATCAACCCTAGAAGACCCCAGGAAGAGGCTCTCTTGGCTGCCTCATTGTGTGCCAACGAAAGCCTGTTGCAACGGATATGCACCTGCTGCCCAATTCGCTTTTTTTTTTCAGTGAGCCCAGAAATTAATTACATATTCGGAACGCTACGTGAAAATTTCCCCGCCGTCTCCCTGGCGCAGTGGCTGACGGCCCCCAGATGCTTGCGTCACCGGCGATCTCGACTTAACGCACAGCCTGTTTAACAGTCGGATTTGAACAGATGAAGACTTGGAGACGCCGCATATGAAAGGAAACGCTCACATGACAAGGCGCAATAATAATAGACGATGGTATGCATTACCTGTCATGCAGGTAGTTGGCCGCAGCACTTCAACTCGTCCGTCTTGTTCAGATGGCTAGGCAACGCAGCTGGGCATATCCAGAAAACCGATTTCATACGTGTCAAAACTAAGTTTTAAGCGTGAGAATGAGTCAAATTTCCAATCAATCATGTCACATTATCTTTCTTTCTGTCTAATAGCCAGTTTCAATCAACACTTGCCTTCCTTAACGTGTAGTGGGTCTGGATATCTGGGGCGCAAGCCAAAACTAATCGCAACCAAAGACACTACACAGCGATGCAATGCCGTTTGGCTCTATTAGAAATGGAGAATGTGAAAGAGACCTGTGATAGTCCCTAGGCAGCTTCAAAGTAAGTTTTCTGCTGTCTAGAGTCGTAACGAAGATAGGATGTTCAGCTTTGTGTCTGATAACTTTCAAGCTGTTGCTGCAAAGCTTTTCCTTAGATACACCATGACAGTACTAAATATTCAGGCTGACTATGTATTCTCATTACGAAGAGGACAGTTACGCTGTTTTCTTCCATTTTCTAGCCATCTATGCAAGAGTCGTCTTTCTAGTCGGCAACAAAACATGTCCTATTGACATATGATGAGACAGTGTCTTACGCTCTAGTATGCGAAGCCCCAAGTACCTTTATATCACCACTGTCCCCCGATTTATGCCTCAAGTTTTGCTGTCAACATTACTTCCTACCCTGGCTGGCGTCAGTGTGTGTAGACGGCGACAAATAGCGACAACGATGACAACGACGACAACAATATAGAGAATGAAAAATGGCCCAGTAACAGATTTTGATGTCGCGTCTGTCACTCAATGACTCCGTATATTGTAGATCCAAATCTTCTCATATTCCGTATTACACATTGATCTTAAATAAGAGGTTCGATGCTAGGTGAAAACAACACAAGAATTCCTCCAATAGTGATTCCCAGACGTATCTCAGCTTCTACTAAGAACACGTATGCCTTCCCAATGAGCGCCGCGTTGATTTTCTTTGTCATCAATGGCGCTGCAATCTAGGCGTCGTTCAACAATTTCTCAAGCCAGAGTGTCTATCGGCACGGCACGACGAGGGTGGTTCCGGGCTTGATTTGATCCGGGTTAGGAATACTGTTGATGGTCGCAAGCTGGGTGGCAGTGGTGCCAAAATCGGTAGCAATGTCGTTCAGGTTGTCTCCGCTGGCGATGGTGTACGTGCCGAATCCGGGGTGAGCGACGTCTGGTTTGCATCCGCGTCTGGCCTCGGTCAAGCCCGCGAGAGCGCTCATGACGACGAAGAGAATGGATGAGGTCTTCATTGTAGTATGAACTGGAGGAATTTTTTTGATAGAGATTACGTTGATTGAGAAGTTTGTGGTTTCGCTACTTACTATAGAATGAGTAGAGGCATGGGTTGCAACTGTGTTTTATGTCGTCCGGCAGTCCGATGTCATCCGTCATCATTATGGCTGAGTGCGTCGCTTTGACTGCAAACCTCGAACACATGACGCCACCGCCGATGCAGGTGCCTAATAGGTGTGGCAGTGTCCAAAAACTCTATTCAATAGAATCTCATTCGTTGTATGCGTTCCGGCTGCAATCAATGCAAACTGTACATCGGCCCAAGTGTGCCGATGGCCTTGTGGTCCTGCAGAATGCATACTTCTGACGCTCTCGCATCACATGCCACCCTGCGGCTTGACTTCCTTGACTAACTACGGTTTTACAACTCAGAATCTCATTGGCATGACAAAGTCTCTTGCAAAGTTGTTTTCAGGCCTGTTGGTTGAGTCTATGTCTGCAAACCTTACATAGGTAGGTAAGTACGATTAGTACGCATAGTCAACGACCGATGGGCAGCTTTGCCACGTTCTGTTCATGTAACGATAATATAAGTCGTCCATCTTCACGCAGAGCTCTTGATCTTATGATCATGTGACAATTCTGGGAGAAACTACTAGGCGTCTTGCATGCAGAAGTAGAACTGCGCTCGGCACCCCCTGCATATCATGCCTATCGCCACGATGCTGCCGCGCGTCAAAAGCCAGTCCGGCACAGCTGATTCAACTTTCGTGGTAATAAAACTTGCCGATTACTCCGGTTGCCCTTCACGATCGCCTACGCTGGAGGTTTCGATGGTGAAAGTCGGGGTTCGGGCCCTCACCACAGGATGAACAGGTCACGAACGAATGGCCCAGCCGCTCATGAGACTCGCTCGACGAATTCCATCCCCCAATTATAAGGCGACAGCATTCTTAGTGGGTTTCTATCTGCGGGTTGCCCGCAGCTTGCTTCATGCAACTTGAACCAACTTACCACTCTGTAGCTGTCCTAACCAGGCTCTACAAGACCGTATGCATGTTACTCCTGTCAACTTTTCGCTCAAATGAAGCTAGTGAACTCATTCAATGCCTTCAAGTTACATCATCAAAGCGGCCCAGCAAAGCTGGAGGGGTGCTTGGGTTGTATAAGAGTGTGGTGATAGCTGATGCCTAGTTTCCGTGAAGAGATATGAAGCAAGATCCTGGCCCTATTAGAGTGATTCGGGCGACTTTCCGCGCGGTTGCTAGGTTGATCAAACTTCTCAGAGGCATAGAATCAGGTTCTTTTACCCACTGCTAGGTGCGGATTGCTCTTTGCAACTCCTTTTCCGCAGGAAGTTATGGTAGAAGCAATCCTTCCGGGTCATCTACTATGTTTCGCAATATACGACGCTTTCAACAGCGACAGAAGTTTCAGCATCTCCACGATGACTCATTAACATCTTGGAGCTTGACTTACGAAGTAATTGACTGATTGAATCGTCCTCCGGCCTGGCGGTGCTTCGAAGGTTCGCTACAAGATGGTGATATGGCTCAGTATCTCTGGTCACAGATGCGACCGAATCACAACAATGGAATTAATCCCTGTTGAACCCATGTTAACCCCGGGAAAGGCTTGTTGCTTGGTCACTCACTGCGGTAACAACTTTCAGAATCCGTACCACGAGCTTGGCCATCTTGTCTTTCTTACCTATTTGAGGTCATACGAAAATAATAATCACAATAATAATCATATGCTTAGCCCGTGAGCAAAAGCTATGAGTAATAGTCCGCCCGGTTAGCTGGAAGTATCCGCCGGGTTAGCAAGACTCATCAAGAAAGACGGCTGTATCCTCGCTCTGCAAGCCGCTTTCAATGGTGTTCATAGGTTACTCAGAGCGTCAGAAAAGTGCGCAAAGCCCGCATAGATCACACATACATTTCAACTGATAATTCTATTGAGCCAAACCAGAAATAATTTTGAATTCTTTTGCTTAAATCCCCTCAGCAATAGGTGTAACACCCTTCTTCAGAATGATGTTGCCATACTTCCTCGTCTCGCCCGTCGAGACAATCGCAAAAGCCTTCTTGGACCTCTCGTAGAACGCAAACCTCTCCAGCTTCTCAATCTCGCCGTCGTACTTGAGCGATTTCCTGAAGTCGCTCTCGACGCTCGCGTCGAAGGTGTCGCCCTTGACGACCTCCATCATGATGACGGGGACGACGCCGTAGTTGTCGAGCTCGAGGAGGGGGGAGATTCCAGCAAGGAGTCTGGAGACGGTGATGCCTTCCATTTTCGTCAGTATTTGTTCAGATTGTTGGTGATCATGATGAACATGAAGATGAAGACTCACCGTCAGCCCTCAAGACGGGAATGTGAGGTGGGCAGATGGAATGGGCCGGGAAGTGGGCGTCGGCCAGCACGATCTCGTCGCCGTGGCCCATTTCGGCGAGGACCTTGAGGAGGTCGGGGGAGATGACGGGCGAAATTCCTTTCAAGACCATGTTGACGATTTTGTGAGATTGATGTTGTTGGAGGCGAAGAAGATGAGTGAGGTGAGAGAGGGATGAGGTGTCGTTTTTGACCTTGAAGGCTCCATGAGGTGCGGTGAAGCTGCTGCTGCCCCCACGCCGGTTTCGAAAATGTGGGGCCGCTCCCTGAGATCCACGTGAGATTGACGACTCTCGGGCCAACAACAAACTCGTCGATGTTTGAGCAAACATATTAAGCAAACACTGTGGATGCAGGATATGTGTATTGAACAATAATGAATACATGGCATTTCAGGATTATTTTTGCTCATCCCACGCAATCCACCCCTTCTTCCCCAGCGCCTTCAGCTTCCCCTCATAAGCCACACCCAGCGCCCTCATCTCATCCTCATTCGCGCCCGTCCAATCGCCCATCATCTCCAACACATCACCCGCAAGACTGTCATCCTTCGGGTCCTCCGCCGCAAGCAGCAGCTCCCCGACGACCTCCATCCGCAAATACTCCGCCAGCGTCGGCTCCCACGAGGCCCACGCGGCGTGCATCCGACCCAGCTCCACCGCGAACAGCGCAAAGCCCGTCTTGCTCCGCGCCCGCACCACGTCGCTCTTGAGATACGCAAAGTCTTCGTGGTACGGCCCCCGTCGGTTGCCGAGCTCCTCGATGAGGTCTGAAAGTGTGATGACATAGGCCACGGAGTCGTCGAACGTGGCAGCATGCCGGGCTGAGGAGAAGGGCAGGGGCAGGATCTCGACCTTGAGCCGGAAGGCGTTGGGCAACGTGGGCGGGCGCCCCGGGCTCAGCCGGATGTCCTTGATCTTCGCGATGATGTCGTTTACCACCGGGACGCAGTTGTCGCGCCAGCTCTCCCAGTGCTGTGGGCTCGCCATCCGCTCCGAACACAGTCGGCTGGCTAGCGCGTTCACCAACTCGACGCGCTCTTTCTGGAGGAACTTGTTCGCGGCCGCAAGCACGAAGTCCTGCACCGCTTTGAAGTCCACCCCCTTGCCGCTCTCCAGCTTTGACTTCATCCACACGGCGGGACGCTGTAAGACATCCGCAGCAATATCGAGCCCGAGATAAGACGCATGGAACCCGGGATTATTAAAGTGCTTGAGCCATTGCTTGCCTGCGTTGCTGTTGAGCAGGTCGCGGTCTTTCTTGACTGCTTCTGTGACCCGCGTGATGCCTGGCGAGGGATCGATGTTGACCAAAGCCATCTCCCGCAGCATCGTGAGCAGCGAGACGGGCATGTATAATGTGCAGTCCTTGAACATGGACGAAAGCACCTTCGGGTTAACAGGGCAGCGCGGAAGCGTCTCCCCATTGTCGAGTGAAAAGCCGTTCTTGGTAAGAAAGAGGTCCATCCACCTCGCGTTCGTGGCAGCAGATCCCTCCAGCGCAGCCACGACCAGCCCCGCAATCCTCGCCCTATCCTCATCGCTCAACTTTGAGTTCTTCGTCTGAGCAAGAAGTATCTCCGTCAGGGGAGTCTCCTCCCCGGCCTCAGGAAGCCCAGCCGCCCACTCCTCCTCCGAGTACGGCCTGCGCTCGCTCAGCTGCGCCGCCGCAGGGACGATGTACTTTTCCAGCGCGTCGAGCACACGCTGCCGTAATTCAGGAGGGCAGGAAGGGACCTCCATCGTGCTGATCAAACTGTCCACAATCGTTATTCTGGCATCAATGTGCCTCGCCTCGGAAAGCAGCGACGTGAGGATGTCGCAGGACGAGACCGCGTCGATGAAGCAGTTGTTATTCAGCACCTGCGCCATCATCTTGATGGTCGTGACCTTGATCGCCGGCTTGTGCTGCGCCTGCGCCTTACTGCCCTCCTTGACGAATGGGCGCGCGTTCTGCTCGCGCATCTTGTCCCGCATCGCATTGGCCATCGTAAAGAGGAACTCCTTGGCGGCCTTGGCCGGTAGCGAGCGGAGGAAGCTCACGTTGATGAGCTGGCGGTGCCACGAGCTGTTCTCGCCGCCGTCCATGATGAGGTTTCGGATAAAGGGGCACGCGAGCGCTGGCTGGTCGCTGTTTGCCACGCGGAGGACGATGGTGACGATATTCCACATCTGGGCGTTGAGTCTCTTCGCGCCGAGGCGCTCTCGCATGCTGTCTATGAGCCACTTGGCCAGCTCAGCCAGGAGTTTCGGGGTGGCGTCGCGGATGCCGTTCAGGAGGTAGACGGCCTGGACCTCGACGCTGTTGGACGAGTTGAGGAGGGCAGTTGAGGTTTTGCTGTACAGGAGCGCCTCCAGCTCGAGGAGTACGTCCATCGTCGGTTTCCATAGGATATCTGTAATCTCTCGCGCGTGGTCTTCCGAGCCGCTGGCCTTGGCGATGTTCTCGAAGGATTCGACGTTGTCTTTGTGTAAACGGGAATCGGCCACGGCCTTTGGCAGGCGGAGCACGCTGAGCCATCTGGAGCGGTCGAAGCCCGGCTCCTGCACGACCATGGTCGCTGTCTGGGTGAGGTCAACCAGGATCCTGTTTGCAATGTCGACGTCCTTCTTAATAGATGCAAGTGTCGCTTTCTCCGCCGCCGGGGTATCCTTCTCCGGGATGCCACCTAGAAGCGCGACTACCTCCACCGTCTCCCACACGTCGCTGCTGTAAAGATGATATACCGTAAGTGAATCCTTGTTGAACCGTCGTGCCCAGAGCACCGTGTCCGCGAGCATCTCGAGGTCCCCGGCCGCGACGCAGAGGTTCATCGCCGACTTGGTCCAGAAGGCGCGGTGTATGGGCTCGCGCGACTGTTGCGCCGCCTTCTTCCTGTCCTCGACGATCCGCCGCACGCGATCGAGCCAGGCCGTGTCCTGCGCCCCAGCCTTTGACTTGCGAATCAACAGGGACCGGAGGATCTCGGCGTCGCCGCAGCGATCATTGTCTGGACCTCTCCTCTGCCTCAACACCGACGTGTTGCGGCCGTATCCACTGGGTTCAAAGAAATCGCTGCTCGGGTATGCCTTTGCCAGCCTTTCGAACAGGGCTTGGGCATTCTCGATATCGATCGAGAAGAACACGGACACAGGCCAGAGATCACCCTCGACCGGCAGGTTTCTCAGCCGAGCGATCCCTGAGTCCGAGTCATCCTCAATGTCGATGCCGTATCCGTGGAGATGTCGCAATGCAAGCCTGAGAAGCTCGAACCGTGCTTCCGGAGCCATTCTCCTGGGCGTGACGATAATGTTATGCACAGTCCCCAGAGTAGCCTGCTTCTCCCAGGCCTTCTTCCCAGCCGGATACAGCTCCAGTAAGTGCACCACATGCGCCTTCATCACCTCCTTCCGCTCCTCCTTCGCGGTCTTCCATTCGCGAATCGCGTACTGCAATAAATTGCTCTCCACCACGTTCGGGCGCCGGCCGAGCTCATCTGGATACTTGCGCGCCACGCTGACCACATAATCCAAGAACTTGTCCCTCGTCGCCTCATCCGCCCTCTTCTTCACCAGACGCCTGAGCAAAGGCAGCGCGAATTCCTGGTAAAAGTCTCTCGGGATCTGCGCCTCCCCCTCCCGGTTGACAATCTTCTCAAACACCTGCTCGTGAAGTTTCATATTCCCCTTGAACACCGTCCGGTCCGCCGAGAGCGTCCTCTGCCCCTCATCCACCTCAAACACGCGCGCAAGGAAGTTCTCCTCATACCTCTCCCGATGGCCCCTCGAGAGCGCTTTCTGCTGGAACGAAGTCCACTCCGCCCCGTCCGCCTCCCACTCCTCCACGACCTCCAGCTCGCACGCCGGGATCAGGTCCTGGTAGTACACCCTCAGCGGCCGCTTATCCTCCCGCGCCTCATCGTAGAGCAGCCTCACGAGCTGTCCCATCCCCGCGCGCCGCTCCGCGCGGAAGTTCTCTGCGGACGCGGTGCGGCCCAGCCAGCGGCAGAGCACCTGCACGTCCTTGACGCTGAACTCGGCCATCAGCGCCGCGAGGCCGTCCGCGCCGCCGACGGCGGTCCATAGCGGGAGGAAGCTGTCGGCGCGGCGGAGGGCTTTGCCGAGAGTCGCGATGGCGGCGGTGCGTGTGCCCGCGTGTTCTGCCTGGCGCAGGTCGGCGACGACGTCTGCGGAATTTGGGCGCTTCATGTTGGGATGTGTGGTGGGAGTGTGTTTTGTTGGGCGGTGTATAATTTTTCTTGTTGTCATGATAGGAGGTGTATTATATTGTTGAATTGGAGGCGATTTTGGTGCTTGGCTTTTTGCTTTCGTGATTGGAAGAGTGCTGTTCCAAAATAAATACTCACAAGACTCGCCTGCAGACACGAGAACTGGGGATTGTATGACTCTCTCTATTCGCCGGCTAGGCTGCCATTGACGATGTTGATCATGTACGCGAAAGGCGCAAGAGTCTAGTCTAGGCTACATTCGGATCTGAGTCAGAGTGGGATTCTGGCCTCCAAAGTTCCAGCACGAACGACGATGCGGCGGTGAGTGACTGGATCAACACACGCTCAGAATTGAGGCCAATCCTGCGAAATCGAATTGGCCTTGACTCTCCCTTCCCAATGGCACATTTTGGCCTTCATTATGAGCTCCTGCGGCACAGACGTGAATACGACGTCACCGTCATCGGGCGCAACCTCTCGCCTCAGGATCGAGATATAACCCACGACACCAATTAATGGACCACGAACAAGGAGGCCGCCAATCCATTCCCTGATCCCCTATTGCCCCTTTCTTCGTCCGATCTTTTCGTCTCTTGTATATTCAATGTCTGTCGCATAGTCATCCGGCAATTGGAGGTCGTCCGCCCACCTGCCAGAACCACAGCCTCAACCTGAGCCGCAGCATGTTTCGGAATGAGGAGCGGGTCAATATACAGCAGACAGACGACACGCGCCATCAAGTGGCGGTGCGTGGGACGTTCACTCAGGAGAAGGGAGGCACGCAGGTTTTAAAAAGGGCCTGGACGCATCTCAAGGGCATCTTCAAAAATCCTCCGAAGCCAGTGTGCAGTGGCAGCTTCTGCCTCTGTTTGTGTTTGATCGCCGAAACCAAACACCTGTCAAGAT